CTCCGACAGGCACATCACACATTCAGTGCAGAGAAAAGATTGAAAAAGAGCTCCCTAGCTGAAATTCCCTGGATTAAAAGGTAAGGGAAAAGGAGGACTGGTTCTGACTTGCACTGCAAGTATTTTGGGGTTCCAGCAGCACTGCAGATTTCCCTCTTAATTATAAGCTTTATTGATGTGGGCTTTTTTAACACTTGAGAAAAGGAAAATCCACAAAAAAAAACAAACCCAAACCTCACCTTAAATAGGCACAAAGTCTCTAAGAGTGCACAGATCCATACTAGGAACAGGAGCACAGCTCAGTACTGCAGAGGAGGGAACGGTCACCGCGTGCAGCAGGACAAGTCACGTCGCAGGAGCGAGGGAAGAGGGCAAAGGAGAGGCTGCAACATCAAATCGTGCTGCAGGCTTGAGCAAACCCTTTAGAAAATACTGGCTTTAGTCAAACATTTTGAACCAATAACTTCAGATTATTCCTGTTCCAGTTCAGATTCAACAACTCGGACTGAGTAAATGAATTCTACTTTCAGTATGGAAAAAACCCACAACCCAAACCCAAATAAACTATAGTTGAAATCAGCTGCAATCTGACTGGTTTGATCTCACTTGCACATCTCTTTTACTCCAAAAACTCAGGAAATGTGACACGAAAAGTCAACGAGACACGAGGTTAGTTTCCCGAGATCATTTCTACAGCAAGACGTTATTCTGGAGAACCAAAAAGGAACAAACCCCTCTTATTATTTAAGAAGATAAATGAATATCAAACTCATTAGCAGCCCCACAGATGTGTACACAATAAAATCAACAGTCCCTTAGAGCATAAGCAAACACGATGCAGACTGTAGGTACACTGTCAGCCAGCAACAGCACTGAGCTAGATAGAGATCCTAGAAATAAGTGCTTGTACTCAGCAGTATTTACAGACTAGAGAGCCTTGTCTTTTCCCAGTGGACATTTATTTCTTACTAGACAGCTGCACACACTATAAAAGCAACCTTAAAATCAACCTGCCCAAGAAACACAATCACGTCTTCAAACCAACCTTTTTTGGGATGGGGTTTTGGAGGTTCTGTAGCTGCTGGCAACGAAGAAACCTGAAAAGACAGAAAAGAGGAGTATTAAACACACCAGGCAAGGTTTCTTGAAGATCTATTCCTCAAAATAATTGGGGAGGACAAGTGGAAAATCCCAAAAGAGGGCATAAAAATAGCACCATTGCTGCTGGAAAAACTCTGCCCTGCCGAGTGCTGCTCTTGCTTGGCCACAGCTAGACAGATTTCTAATCACCATGAAGATTAAATAAACCCACTCATTTTATAGCACATCCCTGCTCCGCAGGCTCAGTGCTATTTATCAGGATTCTAGAAAGCAATCGTTACCTTGTAAACAAACAAAAGTCAAGTATTTAAGATGCTAATTAGAGATCAGACACAGGAAAACATCAAAAACGTTTCTTATAAAACATTTATAAAGTTAACTAGAACAAAGTTGTTCCTGGGGAACAATGAGAGTCACCAGGCCGTGAGCACAGTGACGTCCCATCACACGGCGGGGATAAAACCTCTGCATTTTTATTTTTGAATTGCATTTTCTTGGGGAAGAAGCATTCCCCACTCCTCTTCCCCAGGCGCGAGGCAGGATTTTACAGACCTGTGTTGCCTCTCTCCTCTCCTTAATAAACAATTTTTTTGAAGTGGAGATTCAGTCTCCTCTTGTTCCTTGTAATGTTTTAGGAACATTTTCTCGTTCTACTCTCTTTTTTTATTGGAGATGGGGAGGATCAGAGATCCTGAGCCCAATATCTGAGACATGGAAAATAACCCAGATGTAACAGGGAAGGCTTTTACCAGCTTTGCTTGTTAATAATTTCTAATATTTTATTCCCTTTTCAGATTCCTATTGTGAAAAACTGAGTTAATATTTTCCCAGAATTACCCAACTCCAAGCACTCGTTCCCAAGCAGCAAAACAACAGCACAAAGCTCTTCATTTCTTGTACGTATCTGCGATTTTTTAAATCTGTCCATCATTCCAATTCCAAGTCTGATCACTCAGCACTATTAAGACCTCCCTGTAGTTTCTCATATTTCCTCCTGATTCAAGCTACAGGGGATTAATTCCTCTTTCGGTAATTTTATTTTTTGCTAAGGCACTTCTAATGCTTGGGAAAAGTGCATTTTTAGAAGATCCTAGTGTGTGAATTTGTGAAAAAAAAATTACTTTACAGCCAGCTCTGGTGTGTGGATTTAAAGGTCTTGATGCTTTCGAGCTCCCCAGGTGCGGGGACGAGGAGTGAGCGAGACCTGGGCACTTGCCCCAGGCTGCCAACAGGGTTATTTCACACCGTGAATGACACTTTCAATAGAAATTAGAAAGTTTGCTGAGAAGTTCTCTCTCTTTCTCTCTCTCCCCCTCCCTTGCCCTGGTGCCGGAGCCCTGAGCCCTTCCCTTCCTCCCAAAGCCAGGGGCTGTCCCTGTGGGGAGGGCACAGCTTCCTGGGATGGGATGGTGATAGTCCTTGGGGATTTTATATTGATGTCGGGATCAATGCTGGTTCTTTAGTGTTGTTAATGTTAATTATTTCGCCTTACCCTATTAAATCTTTTTATTTCAACCTTCAGGTTTCAACACCACAGACCTGGCCCAGATCCCATAGGGATTAACCACACAAAAACCCCAGCATTTATTCCTCTTCTCTGCTCCTCGCTCCTTAATCAGATATTTATCCATGAGAGGATTTGGTTTTTGTCTTATTCCAAGACCGTTTAGCTCCCTAAAGAGCGCCTGGGGCTCAGAAACCCGCCTGGGGCTCAGAAACCTGCTGCACCACACAGCCCGCTCAACACGGGGGGAAAAGGGAGATGAGAAAAGCCCCGGCTTCACTCGATTACCCCAATAAAAGGCTGTGTTTACAACACCGAGGGTGCAGAGATTAAAAATTCACTCTTGAAAGCAGCCCCCACTGCCCTGCTCTCCCCTCGCTCCCCCTGCCCCACCACAGCTCCCCCCACAGTCTCCCCGCCCTCTCGGCCCCACCGCAGCCCCCCCGGTCTCC